ATCCGATATTCGAAACTTTCGAATTCCTCATCATCTCTTCTGCGGTTTAATAGTGAAGAGGTAAACTTTTGGCCCTATATGTGTAAAGTACGTATAGTAGCCCTGGTACGCAACTGTACTATACAAGAATCAACCAGCACAGTGATATTTGTGCGCTCAAGTCTAGACCGAGCTTAGAGGATTGGGTGTACACAAAAATGATGCTCATCGATTTGTTACTAAGGAAGAATTAGATAAATGTAATGGCGGAGGCGTGGTAAAAATCGATAGAAATACATCCCTTGTTTCTAAATAATATGATTGATCTTAGATCAATTACAGCTACGTCTGAGACCCACCATATCCGAAAACCTTATCTATTGAGACATTTGTTGGTGTTAAACATCCAGGCTGTATAGGGAAGCCACCATTTGGAAAGAAGTCGACGTGACCCATCGGAACGGGAAATCCAAACTCTCCACCGTCAGTGTGTATGACATCCACGAACTCTGCATCAGACGGCGTCAGGTGACCTCTATTGTTAGTTCCTCGGTAAAGAGGATATGCCGGGTCTAATCCTGTAAAACCGAAAAAAAAACACTACCATTAGTTTAAGTATTTTCTCAAATTTCCATATAAAAGCGAGTCACCTTACGCTCCGTTATGATAAAATATAAATATTCTCAAGACCATACTTTGGAGAGCTCTGTTAAAATTATATTAAAAGAAATCTCTCAATTTGACCAAGCAATATCAAATTTAAAATATTTGGTAAAGGGGTTGGATTCTACTTTCTAATGTAAACGTGTGCTGTCAGAGTGAGACAGAGAGTACATTCAATTTACTTGTATTTATATTTTTTATAATTGAGATAATTAAAAATTAAAAATTGGACAAATTTAAATAAAACCCATCCTTGTAAAAACTCTATCTGTAAAACTCTGTCTGTCTAATTCTGTCTCGGCTGTTATTTTTCATAATTCCTAACCTGTAATTCTAGGCAGCTTTCCGATTTTGAGTTCCTTGCCGGCGAATGCAGCGATTTCTGCACCCAGACTAAAACCGATCACGTGGATATTGGACAAACTGAACCCTTGACTCACTAAATATTCGATGAATCTGGCCAAATACTGTCCGACTATCTTTGTATTGCGAACCGCAAAATCGTACCACGGGAATGCAGTCAACTTACTCCACTCGACAAGTATAACGTTTACTCCTTCACGGCGAAGGTACGCTTTAAAATAATATTGCAGTCTACAGAAGCAGTTAATAATTAACGATGCTTTTTTAATTACCATTCTTCATAGAAGTACCGCCTATTGATGTGTATTGCTCAGTGAATCCGTACACGTAGATCACTGTAAGCTTGTTTCTGTCTATTTGAGACCTACGCAGTGACTCGTCATCGTTTACTAATATCTGACGTGGTTCATTTGGGTTTTCCCTAGATGTTTAACCATTAATATTTTATGGATATTATACATAACTAGCAGTTATAATATTTTGACATTTAAAGCACTTTTAACAATATTGATGTATTGTATTAATTGCTATACGGAGAAATTTACGAGGTTGGCGTATAACTATAATAGCATTATTCATTAGTTGTATTCTAAACTTTTAGTAGTTAGATTAACAATAGAATATATTAACAATGGTTTTATTTTTAAGTAGCCTTGAATGAACATTTGTGACCTCACAGATAAATTTATTACTATGTTTTAAAAATGTCTTTTAATTTTCTGGTACTGATACCTATGTGGTATAAAAAAAAAAGATGGATTTAAAGCAACAAAATAATTTTACTAAAGATTAAAAAAAATTAAATGAATGATAAATATATTTTATTAAAAAAAAAAAAAAGGATAAAACCAAAAACACTTACGTTGTATAGGATAAAAATGTAATGTCTTCTTTGATGTTTATCGGACAGCAAGATTGGCATTGTCCTTTGGGCGCCACCATTATAGTGGCTGGGCTGTTCTCTGGATTATATAATTAATGAAAAACGATTTCTTAAGTTTACCAGCAAAGTTATACAATTATTAAAATCGATCTCACCTATAAGAACTGTGTATGCCAAGCAGAAGATAACTAATGCGGCCATTGCGTTTGTAAATACCACGATAGAATAATTGTTTTATTTTATTTTAGTTTTTGAGTGCCAGTTATTCCGACAACACTAGTTATTCACTTATAATCGTATGTACGTGGATTAAATAAAAATAGTTTTAAACATTTCTTTGAGTACACTTTCCGTGAAAATACATAGATTTATAGTTAATGGCGACGTACGAAGACTCTCCGCCATAAGATTGCACACGGAATTGAGTTGGAAATGTACACATACTATTTTGATGTCAAACAATACACATTATATAATACTATGATTATATTATATTTTTTAATACATAATTATGTTGAATATGGATTTATACATTTTTTGCAAACATAACACAATACAAGATCATGGTCAATGTTACCAGCTAGGATTGTGTTTATTCTCACTAATATAATATTTAATGTAATGAGAAGAACAATAAATTCAAGACAAGAGCGTTGCGTTTTTTTAGAATTAGTAATTTGTAAACGAATATACATACTTAAATAAAAGCTTGTAAAAAAAATTATATTTTTTTAAATTTATATATTAACACATAAAAGAGATATTCATTTAGATAATTTTTTATAGCTTTTATAACTCATGCAGGCCATATTTTTGTACAAAACCATGTGTTCCAACAGTATGTTCCTAAAAATAGTCCGTTTTAAGTTTTGAAAACATTTTGAATTCTTTACAACATTTATAAAAGACATTAATTGTGGGACAGTTTTCAAATTATTAAAAGCTTGTAGTGAATAGGAAATAAACAAAATGCTACACACTAATAATTTAAAGATAGATATACTTTGTTTTAGCTTTAATATAAGATAATGTACAAAGGTAAAAAGATTTGAATTTAAAAAATGTTTGTGTTCTTAATTTTCTCTTTAACTATAAGAGATAGACTGTTGGTTACAAGCCCATTAAGAGAAAGCCGGATTTTTTTATTTAAGGTCTCGTTCGAATCACCTTAGCATGTAGAAGCGCATCAGAACTTTAATTGTTATAGTTTATTCTCTACAGATATTTTAAGTTTTTTATGACGAAAAGACATTTCCCCCCCTGATATTTGTTCTTTATTTAACAATTTCGAGTAGTTAGTCTTAGGATTCGAGGTATGATAATTACACTGAAGGTAGATTTAACGATCTAGTAAGACCTTTAAAACATGTACAGGTTTTCCAAAAACTAGTCAAACATTCTTTTTAGTAAGTAAAGGGATCACCAAAAAAAATGGGTTTGTGTTTATGTACTTTAGTATCACAGGTGCGATAGTAAAGTGTAAACCAAAATTAAGAACTAGGAAGTTATTTGGAAAATATTTAGATTATAATTACAAATTTACAATATTCACTGGCATTGAGCATCAGAAAATGTTCAAACGTACTCACAAGGTTTACCGTCGAATACACAGAACACAAATTTACTTAATATAAAATGTAAGCTACCATAGTAATTTTTGACACGAAAATAAAACAAAGTAATACTATACCTTGTTTAATTAAAAATATAAATGACAATTTAACTTCATACCTGGTTAAAACAATTGCTTAATATTTAAATTGTACTTGTATTTTTTAGACAACCTTTCAAATCATCTTGAGAGCCATGTGGCGGTAAGTTTGATTATTAGCGAACGGTTCTATGAGTCTAGTATTTAAATAAAATTTTCTTTTGATCCGAAAACAAATATTTAAAGGTTAGGTAACTGTTTTTACGTATGTACTTAAAAGGTGAAACAATGGCTAAACAAAATATGTAAAACAGTATTTAGCACATATTTAATTAAACAAATGTTATCGAAAATGTTTAGTACTGGAAAATTCAGTTACATAATAGACAAAAACTAGTTGGTAACAACTTGTAACTTGACAGGACTCTCATAAAGAACCGAAGCTAAGAGACCGAATAGTAAGTATCAATTTAGATTAAGTATGCATTAGTTGTATTCTAAACTGTGAGTAGTGGTAATATATTAACAATGGTTTTGTTTTTAGGTGGCCTTGAATGAAAATTTAACTTAACAGATAAATAAATTACTAGATTTTAAAAATATCTTCTAATTTTTTGTTACTGATGAATATACATATGTATATTTATATACATAATATAAATAATTTTGTGTAGAAATTATGAAGTCAATATAACAGTATTTGAGAAACTGTTTTCCGAACAAAAATAGATATGTGTGGAATACATACTTAAAAATTCATTCCATAACCTAGCAAAACATCCACAAAATATGAGTATATTATATTTTAACGTAAAATTACGGCTTTGTTATAACTTTTTTATTAGAAGTCGAGTTATAGAAACATATTATTTATACAGAGTATGATCAATATACGTTGACAAACCGAAAAAAATCATTTGTCCATACAAATGTTGTCCAATAAAATTATTTACTTATGCTTATTTACAATTTAACACAACGAAATCTTTAGCGACCGTACAACGTCTTGCGAGTTCAATACGTTAGTATTAGATACACTGCATAAAATACAAAAGACTTGTTTTTTATTAGTGTATTAAAAAATATAAAAAATAACAATGATTGCCCACATTTGTACATTTTTTTTATGTTATTTTGTTATAATTTCATATATTTTTTTTAATTTATCCTATACGATTTTTGAATACGTTTTTTTCTAAAAACTATCTAAGTACCATAAAAAAATGTAAAACATTCAACAAACATCCAAATGGTATCAAAAGTGCATTTCGGTAGATTCTGACAAATTCTGGAGAAGACAGAAATCAATATTACAACCATAATTTAAAAAGCCATTTTGTAATTAACTAAAAATGTATAATGTAACTAAAAGTGTTTAATTGTACTCTTAAGGTTTACCGTGGAATATACGGAATACAAATTTACTTAATATAAAATGTAAGCTACCATAGTAATTGTTGACACGAAAATAAAACAAAATAATACTATACGTTGTTTAACTAAAAATATAAATGAAAGTTTAACTTCATACCGGGTTAAAACAATTGCTTAATATTTAAATTGTACTTGTATTTTTTAGACAACCTTTCAAATCATCGTGAGAGCCATGTGCCGGTATGTTTGATTATTCGCGAACGGTTCTATGGATCTAGTATTTAAATAAAACTTTCCTCTGAGCCTGAAACAATCATTTCAAGGTTGTTATATATAAATACATTAAACCGTATTTACGTATGTACTTAAAGGTGAAACAATAAATAGTAACACTAAAGACGTAAAACAGTATTTAGCACATATTTAATTTCAAAAATGTTATCGAAAGTGTTCAGTACTGGAAAAATCAGTTACATAATAGACAAAAACTAGTTGGTAAAAACTTGTAACTTAACAGGACTATCATAAAGGGCCAAAACTGTAATACCGAATAGTAAGTATCAAATTAGATTTATTTAATATTACTTTTCGTTTGCAGCTATTCCCATGTATTGAACAATTTGGCCATTGCTGTTTTTGGAATCCCTCAGGCATTTACCTTTTTTGAATGCATCGTACGAGTGACATCTAATAGACGGAAAACCATAAGGATTTTGTACGGATTCGATGTAATATTTCCAAGCCCTTACGTGACTACAGCTTGCTAAAATTATGAGATATAGAGTAGTTATATTTATTTTATAGAAAATTGGATGAAATAAAATATTTAGTCCATTAACATTTCCCAATATGGAAATCCCATATTTTAAAATTGTAATGATAAATTAGCAGACAAGCTAAAAAGTTTACTGGCTCTTTTTTGGACAACGCGTAATATGTTTCTGTTTTTAACAATACAAGTTGCCTTTATCCGATATTCGAAACTTTCGAATTCCTCATCATCTCTTCTGCGGTTTGACGCATCGACTACTTTTTCTTATTAATTGGTTTCATTGTAAAAAAGTTTTTGTAAAAAAAAAATGCTTTTAACCATTTTTAATATTCGGAAAATAATAACAGCTTAAAGCCGATATTTCAAACCCCAGAATAGATAATGAGTAATTCAAAATTAAAATTTTCTCAGATAAGTAAATAGATATAATATTTTTTGGTTTTCAAGAGATTAATAGTGAAGAGGTAAACTTTTGGCCCTATATGTTTAAAGTACGTATAGTAGCTCTATGCACAAAAATGATGCTCATCGATTTGTTACTAAGGAAGAATTAGATAAATGTAATGGCGGAGGCGTGGTAAAAATCGATAGAAATACATCCCTTGTTTCTAAATAATATGATGATCTCAGATCAATTACAGCTACGTCTGAGACCCACCATATCCGGGAACCTTATCTATTGAGACATTTGTTGGTGTTGAACATCCAGGCTGTATAGGAAAGCCACCATTTGGAAAGAAGTCGACGTGACCCATCGGAACGGGAAATCCAAACTCTCCACCGTCAGTGTGTATGACATCCACGAACTCTGCATCAGACGGCGTCAGGTGACCTCTATTGTTAGTTCCTCGGTAAAGAGGATATGCCGGGTCTAATCCTGTAAAACCGAAAAAAAAACACTACCATTAGTTTAAGTATTTTCTCAAATTTCCATATAAAAGCGAGTCACCTTACGCTCCGTTATGATAAAATATAAATATTCTCAAGACCATACTTTGGAGAGCTCTGTTAAAATTATATTAAAAGAAATCTCTCAATTTGACCAAGCAATATCAAATTTAAAAATATTTTGGTAAAGGGGTTGGATTCCACTTTCTAATGTAAACGTGTGCTGTCAGAGTGAGACAGAGAGTACATTCAATTTACTTGTTAATTTTTTATAATTGAGCTAATTAAAAATTAAATATTGGACAAATTTAAATAAAACCCATCCTTGTAAAAACTCTATCTATAAAACTCTGTCTGTCTAACTCTGTCAGTCTCGACTGTTATTTATCAGAATTCCTAACCTGTAATTCTAGGTAGCTTTCCGATTTTGAGTTCCTTGCCGGCGAATGCAGCGATTTCTGCACCCAGACTAAAACCGATCACGTGGATATTGGACAAACTGAACCCTTGACTCACTAAATATTCGATGAATCTGGCCAAATACTGTCCGACTATCTTTGTATTGCGAACCGCAAAATCGTACCACGGCAATGCAGTCAACTTACTCCACTCGACGAGTATAACGTTTACTCCTCCACGGCGAAGGTACGCTTTAAAATAATATTGCAGTCTACAGAAGCAGTTAATAATTAACGATGCTTTTTTAATTACCATTCTTCATAGAAGTACCGCCTATTGATGTGTATTGCTCAGTGAATCCGTACACGTAGATCACTGTAAGCTTGTTTCTGTCTATTTGAGACCTACGCAGTGACTCGTCATCGTTTACTAATATCTGACGTGGTTCATTTGGGTTTTCCCTAGATGTTTAACCATTATTATTTTACGGATATTATAGATAACTAGCAGTTATAATATTTAGACATTTGAAGCACTTTTAACAATATCGATGTATTGTATTAATTGCTATACGGAGAAATTTACGAGGTTGGCGTATAACTATAATAGCATTATTCATTAGTTGTATTCTAATCTTTTAGTAGTTAAATTAACAATAGAATATATTAACAATGATTTTATTTTTAAGTAGCCTTGATTGAACATTTGTGACTTAACAGATAAATTTATTACTATGTTTTAAAAATGTCTTTTAATTTTTTGGTACTGATACCTATGTGGTATAAAAAAAAAAAGATGGATTTAAAGCAGCAAAATAATTTTACTAAAGATTAATAAAAATTAAATGAATGATAAATATATTTTATTAAAAAAAAAAAAAGGATAAAACCAAAAACACTTACGTTGTATAGGATATAAATGTAATGTCTTCTTTGATGTTTATCGGACAGCAAGTTTGGCATTGTCCTTTGGGCGCCATTATTATGGTAGCCGGGCTGTTTTCTGGATTACATAATTAATGATAAACGATTTCTTAAGTTTATCAGCAAAGTTATACAATTATCAAACCGATCTTACCTATAATAACCGTGTATGCCAAGCAGACGATACCTAATGCGGCCATTGCGTTTGTAAATACCACAATAGAATAATTGTTTTATTTTATTTCTGTTTTTGAGTGCTATTTATGCCGGCAATACTAGTTATACATTGAAGAAGTCACCTATAAACGTACGAGCGTGGATTAAATGGAAAGTATTTTGATTGAATTTCTTTGACTGTACTTGGGTGCAAAGAAATATATATTGATACTGAATGTCGACGTACGGTGACTAAGCCAACAAATTGCACCCAAGGCTGAAATAGTGTGCTATTAAAATTTATATCAAACAGTACAAATTTTATTTCACATTGCTAATATATTCATTATATAATAATTATAGTAATTGTAATGGTATAGTAAGAGATATACTTATTTTAAAATAATCATATCCTTATACGTTTTAAATTAGTCCATTGTATTATTATGTTTTATTATTTTTATAGGAATTTTTTATTTATCTTTTTACATTTCTATTGTTATTATAACGTTAACACGTTTCTTTTCTGTATGGAAAAAAAATGATTAGTATTTAAACATAATACAATACAAGATCATGGTCAAGTTACCGTGGGATTTTGGTTTGGTATTCTCACCTATTTTTAAATGTTACGAAACAATATGTAATGTCAAGCCAAGGGCGTTGCGTTTTATTTTAAGTAATAGTTTAAAAACGAAAGTATCTAAATAAATGCTTGTATAACAAATTCAATTATTGGTTTTTAATTATTATAACTTTTTTATTGATAGTTTTGATTAAGATTTCTAAGATTCGTCAGATCGAAACACGTCTGGGTATTGTCTTGCTAATTGCCTAGGCATGTTCGACAAAAATGTACACTAACATTGAGCATCAGACAATGTTTGGTTATACTTTCTCAAGGTTAACGTTGAATATACGAAACACAAATTTACATAACATATAATGCTACCGTAATAATTTTCTAGACCAATTTGGTTGCTCAATTAGAATGACCCTGGAGAGGGTCAACAATTATCTGCATTAGGAAGACCTACCCTAGTCTGCTCCAATCTCATTTAATGTCTTTTTACGACAGATTACTTGACCACACCAAGTTTTATACTTAAAAAACAATTTGTGAAAAAGTCATTCTGTCTGCGGTTATATAATCTGAACGCAATATCACACTGATTTACATCCAAAATCTGGGGCTTACCTAATATTTGTTTGGCATACCTAAATATTACATTTTTGTCAATTTCAATATTATTAAGTTTATTTAGTTTTAAACAATTTGTATAATTTGAGAGACAGTATAATAGCTTATAATTTCAACAGTAACACTATATAATAAAAAATAGTCTAAGGAAATTGAAAAGAATTAAATTATTGTACTTGATTGAAAACCTAAAAATACTACTAAAATCTTAAGAGATTTTTGCCTTTTATACGAATATTTTCCAACATCTCATTTTTCAAGAATTATAAAAATCAAAATCTAGTATTTTATTTTTGTACACATTTCTATTCTTCTACTCAACTTAAAAACTTACTACAATTCGTTCAATAATAATGCAACTCTTTTTATATCTTTTAACTAAATTACATTTTAAACATTAAGTATAACAAATTATAGGTGGTACATCGCTGGGCACAATCGAAATTCGCCTTCTCATGTCGCAGCATAGTAAAACAAGTTTGCAATAAAACATTTTTTTCTAATGTGTAAATAATTTTAATATAAAAATTTAATTCAAAGTAAAATAAAACCGTGTATATTATATGTGAATACCATAAGATTTTAGAGCAACATCATTAAAATAAATTATTGGACCAACATTTTTTGATAACCGTTTTGCCGTGTCGACCAATAACCATCGTTTTTTTTCCGTGTTATATCTTTCGCAATGAACTTCTCCACAATAATTCATAAACACGAATAAGTCTTTTTTCTGAATAACAGCGCCTGCGTTTTAAAAGCATGAATAAATAATGTGTAATATACTTAAATAAATACATATATACAGACTCGACTTTGCATATTTTTCGTCGAACATCATGTTAGGCATTTCGTCCCATTTAAAATGTCGTAAATCGAATTTAAAAACTCTTTGAGATGCACAATCACCGCCAATCAGATAAATGAAGTTTTCCATCCTTGTTATACCCATACACGTATTCTTTATCGGCATAGGGTCAAGTTGTTTCCAATTTTTATAATCAAAATCATAGTATTCTACAGTTGCGAGTTTACTCCATTTCCATCCTCCAAACTAAATTAAACAATAAAACTTAGAACAATGAATATTATAAAAATTATTTTGTTAACAATTAATAATACATTTAGTACTTGGATATGGTTTTTATGTTAAAATAGTATTTACTTACAACATATAATTTATTATTATTGGTTATAGCGCTGCATAAGCATCGAGCAGTGGGCATTGGTTCAATAAATTCCGTCCATATTTTTGAGTGTGTATCATAATATTCTACGGAATTCAAATAATAACCTGAGAAATCTTGGCCTCCGACCTATACAAAAAAAAAAAAAAATGAAAAATTGTCTTATAAAAGGTGTGTTTTTGTTTTATGAACTATAATAATATCAAACCAATACGCACAACATATATGTACTTCTTGCGAGTACAGACGGCAAACTATTTTCGGGGTCGATTTAGTAGAGTTTATTCTAATTAGCTATTTAGTTAATTATTATCTTTGTTTTATTTTTCTTGTGTATTTTAATTTTAGTTATCTAATATTACTTAATTCTATTTCTATATATATTCATGTTTACTATGTAATCACTCTTTTACCACTGTCATTATGTTCTTGTTTATGTAACTGGGTCATTTGATCCGTTTAATAAATAAATAAAACTTCATTGTAAAATGATATAACTGATTTTGATGGATTAAATTCTCAGTTTCACGTTAAGGCTAAACAATTTTCAATGGTACATTATTTTTTTTTCTTTGGTCCAAAGAAGAATACTATGTGTTTTATAGATTATAAATTATTGATTTATGAAACTTTAAATTTATGTTTTCACTTTTTATAGGTTGCATCAAGGTGTTTGGTAGCTAGTTACAAAAACCTTAGTAATACTGTCTTTGGCTTCTGTTAAAGTCTTAAAATATGTTCAATTACAATTTAATAAACAACGTTTAAAAATCATAATGCAATGAAATATGAATTACGTTTAAAAATTCGAAAAATGTTATAAATAATATGTTGTGTTGTACTAAAATAAGGCTGTTGCTACTACTTCAAGTGTCCACGACAGCGGACAGCAAACGGTATTATCGTTAGACCTGGAAATTATCACAGGAGTATCTTTATCGTATTTTAACGAAGCAGTATGTTGCCGCAATACTTTAACCTACCTGTACAACACAACCGATTTATCTGCTACTTATGATGCTAATTCACATAATTTGTTATTGATGATTTGCCACATCACAAACATCTTTTACACAATAATCTGTGGTGAGCGTACGATTTCAAAACAACTATTTATAAGAATACCATAGCATGACTTTTTTGTTGATGCCACAAGTAAAATAATACTCGCTGTCCACTAACTAAAATATTGTGTTACTTATGTACGGCTCAAGTTACAGTTGACGACGGGTTGTAATATTTGTTTGTAAAAACCCACATCTACAACGCCTTATTTATTTCATAACCATATAATTCTAAATCATAACTAATATAGTAATATGTTGGCCGTTAGTTTATTTCCCTAACCATCACTTTCAGCATGCCCAAAATAGTCACTTGTCTATTCTATCACATTTATCTTGCTATTAAGAAACTCGATTTTTTAATTATTATATTTGTAACAAAATATTATATTGATTTGAACTGATAATAAATAAGTATATACACTGGAAATAAGCTGAGAACAACTTTTGGCTCAACAAGAAGACGACCGATTCAACTAGAAATCTCAACAAAGTATTTTTCTTTGCCGATTTGGAATTTCATTGCTGGGATCCAAGTTGAAGACACGAATAACGATGTGAATGATATGTTGCCTAGGCATTGCTCCTTAAAATTATAATTTTTTTTAAATGTATTTTACATTATGTATAAAAAGTATGGATTTTCGCACAGAAAATGCTAAAGTCACACTGAAATTCCATAAATGTATATTCTCTTATGGGCCTTTGGATTTTTATCTAGTTTCAAAAACATTCCTAATAAGGATTTTGGTAATGTTAAGTTTACATGAATAGAAAACCTTTTCGTTTTAGTATTTAAATTCTTCTTTTTTCGAAAATCTCGTATTCCATATTTGGATAACTCATTTATAAACTAGAAAATTGTCTTATGGACTGTTCGGAGATGTATAATTCTAGGGACCATTCTTTATTTTATATTTCACACACAAAATTATAGCTTTTTTTTTTAAATAACTTAAACGGCTCTTATTTTGTGAATATTAAACGATCATAGGGTAAGGCCACAGTACATATTTCATATGTTCCAATTTGTTTACTTCGAGGGAAAGATGGTATACGTTTTTTCAAGTTCATTTTACACTTATAGACCGTGTTTAACATAATCGACCTTGCCATTGTTAAAAGGCCTCTCACACCTGTGTAGATTCTTATTGTACACAACTTTTTGTAGGTAACACCACACCTAAAACAGGTAAGTATTTCTCTTATGTTCTTATAACTGTGCGGTAAGTATAAGCTATTTTCTATTATTTACATTTCGTGGATTTGGTGGTAAAAATGCTGCATTGACATTTCGTAAAATCAAACATTTTATTATGTGAGTTTTTTTTTTTACTGTTTGTAAGAAATAATAAATTTAATATTTTTGAGGTTAAAAAATTTCGTTTGTTTTTTTTATATTTTAGTTTTTTTCTGTTTAGGTGTTCAAAATGTTTTCCATCCCTAATTGTTTCATTTTGTTATAACTTTGGCCTAATAGAATTTAATTAATTTTTATATTGTTTACGGTACTTCAACAGCAATGAATAGATGTAGGTTGCGGTTAGGTTAGTAGCTTCGATAAAAAATATATTATTATTTTTAGCAGTTATTTTGTAGTATATAAAAATACCCTATTTTAATTTTTAACATTTGTTGTGCTACTCTAACTGCTGGGTTAAAGTTGAGAGGTCACCTATTGTTATTACAGTATATTTTTAACTTTAAAAATACTCCAAACTTAATCAAATTTTTAAGGAATAAAAAATATATCTAAGGAAAATTGTGTACGTTCCAT